CACTAAGAAGGCCCTCTCCCTTGTCCCCACCAATCATGCCTGTGAGGGGGGCGGGAGCGAGAGCAGGGCCTCTCCAGATGATGGAAGAGATCGTGTGGGTTCGTACATAGAAATGTGGTCATTCAGGTAGGCAGGTCCCAAACCCTAAAGAACAGTGGTTTCATTTATTAGGATTCTGCTCACAACCTTCTACTGTTGGATTTCCTTAGTGACATATCGTAAAAAAAATTCTGCAATGTCTTGAGGAGTCCACAACATCAAGCATACTGGGTACCATCCAGAATGAGTAGCACACTACAAAAGATAGGTTTTTTGGACCAAGTTCAAAGTATGGGCCAGGTCTGCAATAATCGGGGATACAGTCTGTTCTCTTCAACATTTCTTGACCCTTTCAATTAAATTAAACCCAAGAGGAGGGAATACAATTTGATATCAGCACCTTTCAAGTTATACCAGGAAACCTAGAGCCACTTCCAAAAGAGTGAACTAACCCCATGTGTGTTAACAAAGGTTTATGAGTACCTTTTATGAGCACCAGAGTAGCGGCTATTGAAACTTCAGGATGAAGAAAGAACAGAGAAGCACCTCTCATCTTCAACAAAAAAGTAGGGTCAGCTCAGATTATATGGTTGAAGCTAATGTCATGATAATGTCCATGCATAATGTGTATGGTAACAGGGAGAATGCTAGAGCTGTCCTTCCATTTAAAAACACACACATCTCATTAAGCGTTGGAAAGCTCAGGGAAGTCCTGTTTTTGAACAGTTGTTGCCAGGAGAGAACGTTCTTGATAATACACAAGCGAAGGACTACATTTATTACCTGAGAAAATTAGGTTAAAAATTCACTGCCGCAGCCTTTGTCCAAATGCCTACTATTATTATACGGCTTCAACACATGGCAAGCAACTACCAATAATATTACTGGTGAGATGATAATGTTTCCCCAGAAAGAAATGCTATATTGGTTGAAGACTTTTAGGGCCCTTCCACACAGTCATAAAACCCAGAATATCAAGGCAGAAAATCCCACAATATCTGCTTTGAACTGGGTAATCTGAGTCCACACTGTCCTATATTCCAATTCAAAGCAGAAAATGTGGGATTTTATTCATCTGTGTAGAAGGGGCCTTACATTGCTAGCACACACCAAAAATTGAAAAAGAATACTAATCTGCACATCTGGTATTTCTAAGTGTCACTTGTGCCCCCACTTAAAATTGCATGTCATTAGGAGAATCTAGATAGCTCTACATGCTCAATGTGGTACCAAATTCTTACCATAGAAATAACTAACCATACATGAAAGCATTGGGGAAGCATTTGATTCCGGGTTATGAAAAGATTTGTAAGTGCTACTTAGTGGAGCATGAGATGAATGACAATAGAAATTAATCCACAAATGCTACGGTGGTATCATGCTTCTGTAAGACAGTATTCAAAGTAGAGATCTAGACTCTTGATGAGCAGAATTAATCCATTTTAGCTGTCAGGATTGGCATGCTGTTTGACAGGATTCCATAATCATAACCACTATGAGAATCCGAAATACAGTATGAATTCCATATCCATGGGATATGCATACCAAGACCTTCTGTGGATACCTGGAAACCTTAGATTTCCTTACATCTTGGTTATATTTGGGCTGGAAGCATATCATAGATTGGCCCTGGAGAATGTAGAAAGGCCCACAAATACTTCCAGAAGGGAGAATATTTTTTGGAGTATGGATAAGTGAGACTGTGGATAATGGGAGTTGTACTGTACACATTGGCCTCATGTCACAAAGAAAAGTCAATATATTGTTGAAGGCTTTCATGGTCGGAATCACTGGATTGCTATGAGTTTTCCGGGCTGTATGGCCATGTTTCAGAAACATTCTCTCCTGACATTTCACCCACATTTATGGCACCTTAATTAGCATTTAATGGCCCTGCAACTGTAAGGTTCACCTCCCAACAAAGGATTCCCCCAGGCAGTAAGCAACCAGACCTTGAAACTGCAAGGCCTGGCAGGTTCAAAGCTTGGCTGCTTCCTGCCTGGGGGAATTCTTTGTTGGGGGGTGATTAGCTAGCCCTGATTGTTTCCTGTCTGGAATTCCCTTGTTTTCTGAATGTTGTTCTTTATTTACTGTCCTGATTTTAGAGGTTTTTTTTTTTAATACTGGTAGCCAGATTTTGTTCATTTTCATAGTTTCCTCCTTTCTGTTGAAATTGTCCACGTGCTTGTGGAATTCAAAAGAAAAGTCACTTTGGAAAAATAGATTCTTATTGAGTTCTCTCAGCAATTATGACTGAATCATATTTTTATTAAATGGTACACTTATTGCTTCCACATATGCAAAACAAACACTTATTTAGATTATAATCAACTGTTCAGCATAAATAACAGTAGGATTTTTCTTTAATAAAAAGTTTTAATAATCAACCAGATTTGTTTTAAAAGTTATTTTCCAGAAACTAGGAGACAAATAATCTTCCTGAAACTTTCTACCGATATCCACCAGCCTTTCAACAATTTCTACAGCTGAACCAAAATATGCCCTCACTTTGACTTTCCAAAAAAAAAGTAATTTTAAAACACTGGGATATTTAGGTATGTAATGTTGCCTTTTTTAAGACAGCAGTTCCAAAGATGAATATCTCAATATCTCAAATGAGAAAATTACTTTCAATGTGTAATCAAGTTAAAGCGTCCTATGCTGAGAGCAGTTTTGAATTTTTACGCACCTTCGCAAAGTTACACTCTAAGGAGCCTGTGCAAACAGAATAATGCCACAAAAAGTATGTAGCGACAGTCAACTAGATTTAAGTTCATTTTCTGTAGCTGGAGGCCAAAATCGACTAAATTGGTTCTAGTGATCAAGTTTTCTGCAATTCCCCATTCTGTGTATTAGCTATTTGACAGAAATTCACTGCGGTATTTAAACTGGCAGTCATCACAGCTAACTCAAATTGTATTGGCTTTCACAGTGTTGAAATGCTGAACTGCAATCATCAATCGGCCAATTCCAAGATAACGCGGTGGTTGAAATTCCCTGTCATGCTGTACAATCCCTTTGTAGCTCACCAGCTCAGAAGATGCACAATAAAACCTGCAACAAGAGTGTCTGGCAACACCGCCGCAGTGTAATATGAGTGCGCTTGTGGAGGGGCTTTGCCCAGAAGCAAGATAAAGGCAACTGTGCCAACAGCAGTAAACCTCTAGAGAGAGTGTAACATTTTCTTTTGGAAACACACAGAAACACTGAAATTAGAAGCACATTTTGGATCGCTGGTCTTCTCTTTCCTCCCCGCTCCTCAGTGTTTTAACAGCCACCACACTGAAAGCACCACAGTTCTTCTTTTCCACATTTCTATTCACATTGGAAGAAATTAAACTAGCGCATAAAACTAAGCCTTTAAAAACCCTATGCAAACACACACAGCTTCAAATCAGTATGTTTCTATAACTCACCATAATGTTCCTATTAAAACCTGTTACAGCCAATACATAAACTATGAGGCCATTTGTGGAGTTTGTTTCCTAAGGGTACCAAATTTTACAGGATTCGAAACAAAACATGCTAAGGATGTGCATTCTTTTGCTATAAAATGCAATTTTCCAAATGTTGTACCAAAGTGCATTGATATATTCATTGTTTTGATATGTGCTGCCATCTATAACTAATTTTTTCATTTTTTTTTTGGATTTGGTATTTTTTGTAATCAAACTCCACAGCTGCAAAGCCTATCAAGGAATACAAGGCCAGGAGGGAGGCCAGGAGGGAGGGGCTTCTTCCCAAGTCCCCTCCCTGCCATTTCCTCCCCTTCCTCTTCTATTTTGGAGATCGAAAGGATTAGCCATCATCAGGATGAGATGGTGGACCAGAGAGAAAAAGTGTATCCATTAGATCCCTCACTGCCTACTCCTGATATAGAATCCTAGAGCTGGAAGAGACCCCCAAGGGCCTTCCAGTCCAACCAGCTGCCATGCAAGAAGACACAATCAAAGCACTCCTGATAGACATCCTCTGCTGAAAAGCCTTCAGAGAAGGAGACTACAACACACTCCTAGGCAGCCTAGGCCACTCTTCAACAGCTCAGGAAGTCCTTCCTAATCTTTTCAGTCAAATATATTTCCCGGCCATTTGAAATCATTGCTACTTTGTGCCCTGGCCTCTAAAGGAGCAGAATTTTTTTCCCCTCCTCCTCAAGGGGGCACCCTTTTTAATCTTGAAACATGGTTCTCATGTTCCCTCTCTACCTTATCTTCTCCCAGCTAAATATCCCCCAGGAGGAAAGGAGGAAGGAAAAAGAGAAGGGAGGGAGGGAGAGCAAGAAAGAAGGGAATGGAGTGGGAGGAAGGAAAAAGCGTAGGAAGGAAAGACAAAAGGGAGTGAGGGAGGGAAGGAAGGAAGGAAAGAGAAAGAGAGAGAGGGAGGGAGGGAGGGAGGGAGGGAAGGGAAGGAAGGACCGAGAGAGAAAGAGGGAGGGAAGGAGAAGGAGAGAGTGAAGGATAGGATGGTGAGAGAGAGGAGGGCCTGAGAAAAGAGCCCAAGGGGCTGCATCCGGCCCCCGGGCCTGGGTTTGCCCATACCTGCCTTAGACCATAAAAGTTACATACAAGGATACATTGTCACCTGGCACCTTATATTTGCAACATTAACATGTTTCCACCACAATACCAGTCCCGGATTTTATCGTACTGGGCAAATTTTCCAATGGGCATTGGGATGGGAGTAGGGGAATAATGAGCAATTATTTGTCCAGGGATATTTTGCAGTCAAGCTCATAGAGAAAAGTACGAGAGTTTGTCTAGCCTCCAAACATAATAAATATTCCTCCTTCCCTCCGATTGGTGCTGGGTTTACATAGTGCCTTTTCACAACATTCTCAGCAAAAATTCAACACACGGAGGCCCAATCTCAAGAATTTCCTTCAAAGTCAGTACAGGTCAACCATCTCAGAACTATTTACGAATCGATTAAGACCCACATACACACATAGGCAGAGTGAAGAATTTTTCTTGTTTTTTTTTTCAATATAGAAATGTTCTTTGGGGAAATTGCTTGTTGCTCCTGCTGCTTCTATTATCATATAGTTATATTGGGAAATGAAATGGAAGTTACACAGCATGCAAGGGCTGTTAGACAGGCTGCTAATGAAGCATGGTTTCCCATTCTTTGAAGCATGTATTCCCCAGGCCTACTGATCTGGAGAGATTTGCTTCTTATGCGTCCAAGTAGCCACACCTCAACCATAAACAATGGGAAAGAAGCATGCAAAGGAAATGATGCCAGGTTTTAAATGCATTTCAACATGTACACAATGCCTGCCTTTTATACATAACGGGCTAGGCGCTCTCTTCATTTAAGACAAATCTTTTTTTTTTCAGTCCCACCACAAGCAACAAAAAAATTCTGTCACTAAAGAGTGACTAAATAATAACATTAGGAATTTGGCCATACTTGGACATAGCAGTAAGCCAGAACACATATGGAACCACAGTTTTCCGAGTATCAATTGCAGCTTGGATGCAGGTTGTTTTGATTGCTCTCGTCTTTTCTGGTGATTCAACATGTTGACTAAATGAAGACATAGCTGTAGATCTATAACTGCACAACATAGACAAAGCTTTGTGATTTCTTTCTAAAACTTGGGACAGGGCAAACTATCAAGTTCAGACACCATGATTGTTTTAAAATACCCAGAAAATAAAGATTTGTCCTGTGTTCAGCCTTGCTCACAATAAATTGGAGTGATTGGGTAAACATGCATCAGTTTCTGTGGTTTCCCCCAGTTTATGTTATCTCGAAGCGCTATCGGTGAAGCCCCAGGTGGCACAGTGGGTTAAACCTAGTGCCGGCAGGACTGAAGACCGACAGGTTGGAGGTTTGAATCCGGGAAGAGCGTGAATAAGCTCCCTCTGTCAGCTCCAGCTCCCCATGCGGGGACATGAAAGAAGCCTCCCACAAGGATGGTAAAACATAAAAACATCTGGGCGTCCCCTGGGCAACGTCCTTGCAGATGGCCAATTCTCTCACACCAGAAGCGACTTGGAGTTTCTCAAGTCACTTCTGACACAGAAAAAAAAAAGCACTACCGGTGTCCAATGATAAAGCAATGCACAAAGAGGTGCAAACTGCTTCTGTAAGTCAGAAGTGGCACACATCTTCGAAAGTAGCCAGATAGCCATTAACAGCTTAACACAACATTTTTGCCAGTCGTTCTGACAAACTATGAAAGTAGTTTATTTTTACACCATTTGCGACATTAGTCATATGTCCACTGCTGTGATGATTTGCACAACCCGCACCCTGTGAAAATGCTTTTCTTAGAACATAAACACAAGTAGCTATTAACGTGTTCTTGCAATCCTGTACGTTCTTTTCAGAGACTGCACCGAAAACCTCTGTATCGTGTCATTCCAAATCACGCAGCCAACTATCCTCCAGTCTGGTTGGGAGTCTTTCTGGATGAGTCACCATTCATTCATTAGCAGTTCAAAAGGCTTCCCATTTAAGCTATATGCTGGGTACTTATTTTGCCAGCCTCCACAGGGGTCTATGGGAGCAGGGGCCAGGAGAAGGTGGGAGAAACATATCCTGGCTTTATCTTAAGCCACAAATCAACTGCCCTATAAGCCCAAGGCTCGGAGCAACAAGATTTTCCAGGCATGGGCCTCCTGTGTTTTGACACTCGGTCCAGCTTTTGCACCAGATGTTCTGTATCAGAACAATAATAAGGAAAGTATAGAGCAAGATTCTGTGTTCGGTTTGATATGCTTTAATAGCTTCTACACAATTAATTATCTTCTAACTCCCTTTCAAACATGAAAAATTGTCTTTTCATCTTCACATTGAGTTAGTCACCAAAGTTACACAGAACGAACCCAAAACAATGCACAAGCATTTATTTTGGATGTTTTTCCAGGTCTGAGAGAAATATTAATATGTGCGCAATCTCTGCACAAAGCATCTTGAGTTTCTAAAAATGGGAAAGTTCCTGTTGAAAATATACCACATTCTCCCACATGGCTTGCTGAGTTCATTACTGAAAGTATACCACATAGTCTCTGCTGGCAAAATATTAATATTGAAAGTGGAGGAAAACCCCATCTTCATAACCTGATACACCCATGGCTAAAACAACACAAACATGACAATACATATGAGCCAACTAATTTAAGTCCGACTGCACTTCGCAAATAAACACTATAATGAAATGGAGGAGGTAGAGAGGAGCGAGAACAGAAAATCTTCTTATCTGTCTTCACAATAAAACTAAAAAGGTAAAGTACTTAGGACTGTTACGAAACTGTATTACACTGAGAATTAAAAAAAACACAATCAGGATTGTGTCTATTTGCTGTAAGCTTAAAGCAACATGTATTAAAGAAGTTTATGCGAATCATCTAATGCACTCATGCCTATTATTAGAATTATTACCAAGCTAAAAAAGATTAATTTCTCTAAATACAGTAAATCCTCAGACACTATTATAAGACTGCTGCTAATGTAGCATTACTATATCTTGAATGCCAGCGCTATCCCTCTGCACCTTACGCTTTGAATCCAAGACCTGCGAAAGACATTCTGATAGTTTTCTTTGACAGGAGAAGACTCACTTAAGCAGGTTTCATAAGAGACCACCTGAATCCAGAATCGGCCAACTCTACAATCAAAAGCAGAACTTTAAAAACCTAGCCACCAAACATGGGACATCAAACAGCCTGCACAAAGTTACCTGTGAGTTGAAGGGAAAATATGTCTAGTATCATTGGAAGGAGATCAGCATGCCCTGTGTAAAAATAAAGCCTGAAGTAATTGCTACAGTGTTGGGAAACACAAGGAGATACATCCAGCCCTCCACGTTCACTGGGGTTAACATACAAAATACCACAAGACGACAAGTTGCTTTTGTTTTACTTGAGAGAACACCTCTCTAGGAATATTCAGCTTCTCCAGCATGACACTAGATTCACTTTCTACCCGATCATACTAGAGAACCTAGAGATGCCTAGAAAAGTGTTCACTCTAGGAATCACTAGGTCTGCCAGCATGACCCTATAAACAAATTTTGGTAAAGCTGACCACAGAATCCTGCTGGAGGACCTAGAGCAGCGGTTCTCAACCTGGGGGTCGCGACCCCCAAGGGGGTCGCTGGGCCATTTTCAGGGGGTCGCGAAGCCGCCTCGGTTGGCCCCGCCCCCCCAAAATGGCTTCCAGCTCCTGTGTGAGCCAAACAGCCGCGGCCATGGATGAGGCCTTCCCCGCTCGCCTCCTGCGCCCTCCGGCTTCGGAGGACGCGAGAGGCGACTGGGAGGCCCCCTCTATGGCTGCAGCCATGGAGGAGGCCTTCCCCGCTCGCCTCCTGCGCCCACCGGCTTCGGAGGACGCGAGAGGCGACTGGGAGGCCCCCTCTATGGCTGCAGCCATGGACGAGGCCTTCCCCGCTCGCCTCCTGCGCCCACCGGCTTCGGAGGACGCGAGAGGCGACTGGGAGGCCCCCTCTATGGCTGCAGCCATGGACGAGGCCTTCCCCGCTCGCCTCCTGCGCCCACCGGCTTCGGAGGACGCGAGAGGCGACTGGGAGGCCCCCTCCATGGCTGCAGCCATGGACGAGGCCTTCCCCGCTCGCCTCCTGCGCCCACCGGCTTCGGAGGACGCGAGAGGCGACTGGGAGGCCCCCTCTATGGCTGCAGCCATGGACGAGGCCTTCCCCGCTCGCCTCCTGCGCCCACCGGCTTCGGAGGACGCGAGAGGCGACTGGGAGGCCCCCTCTATGGCTGCAGCCATGGACGAGGCCTTCCCCGCTCGCCTCCTGCGCCCACCGGCTTCGGAGGACGCGAGAGGCGACTGGGAGGCCCCCTCCATGGCTGCAGCCCGCTCGCCTCCTGCGCCCTCCAGCCTGTGAAGGGGCGAGGGTCTCCCAGCCGTCTTTCCCCTGTCCAGGCAGCAAAGAAGGCTCTTCAGAAACTGAAGGTAGGACAAATCTATTTTTTTGTTAATACCTCCCCCAAACCCCTCCAGTATTTTCTGTGGGTCATGGAAGTCCTGTATGCCAAGTTTGGTTCAATTCTATTGTTGGTGTATTTCAGAATGCTCTTTGGTGCCTGGTGAACTATAATTCACACAAGTGCAATTCTCAAATGTCAGGGTCTATTTTTCCCAACCCCTCCAGTATTTTCCGTGGGCCATGAAAGTCCTGTATGCCAAGTTTGGTTCAATTCTATTGTTGGTGTATTTCAGAATGCTCTTTGGTGCCTGGTGAACTATAATTCACACAAGTGCAATTCCCAAATGTCAGGGTCTATTTTTCCCAACCCCTCCAGTATTTTCCGTGGGCCATGAAAGTCCTGTATGCCAAGTTTGGTTCAATTCTATTGTTGGTGTAGTTCAGAATGCTCTTTGGTGCCTGGTGAACTATAATTCACACAAGTGCAATTCCCAAATGTCAAGGTCTATTTTTCCCAACCCCTCCAGTATTTTCCGTGGGCCATGAAAGTCCTGTATGCCAAGTTTGGTTCAATTCTATTGTTGGTGTAGTTCAGAATGCTCTTTGGTGCCTGGTGAACTATAATTCACACAAGTGCAATTCCCAAAAAGTCAGAGCTGAATCAGTTGGCGGTAATTCCAATCCCTTCATCCATTGTCCATACTCCCCCAAACATACTGTTTTTATCATTAATCACTATGCTTTAATTATGTTCAATTTGTAACAATGGAAATACATTCTGCATATCAGATGTTTACATTACAATTCATAACAGTACAGTTATGATGTAGCAACAAAAATATGGTTGGGGGTCACCACAACATGAGGAACTATATTTAGGGGTCATGGCATTAGGAAGGTTGAGAACCACTGACCTAGAGAGTGCTAGAAGGGGCATTTTAATCAAATCCATGAATGATCAAATCCACTAAAGTCAAAACCACAACTGTGGAGGGCTTACTACTTGCTTCAGCTCAGCTTCTATCTTAGCTTAGGTCTTTCTCAGCAACGATGCTATTTGAGAACTGCCAAGAAAGAGAAAGGAAGGCCTTGTCTACAATACCTATTTGTAGGAAAGAGCCAATTTCCAGCAGCTAAAGTTCTTCACCAGTTTTGTACTGAAAAATTCTGAAGCACTAGAGCTGATTACAACAGTTGATTTTATTTTATTTATTTATTTTAAAAAAATTTATTAATTATTTGACACAAACAATCTAATATACAATCAGAAAATATACATTCAAAAATAATGAAATGTGTCTAGATCTATATTCAAATGGCAACTTGAGCAAAATAAGTATAAGATACTTTACCATTCACTCAAATTTAATATATTTTCAAAACAAAATCCATGCAAACTATTCCTAACTAGAATTATTGGTGACTATATTTTAGGAAAAAATTATTTCCATATGGATACTAGCAATAGTGCCACCAGCTACTTCTCTCCCCCCCCCCCCCCCCCCCCCCCCCCCACAAAGAGCTTTCTAAACTGTGTATGGTGACATGTTAGTATATTGGTTGCAATGTGCAGGTGTATTGCATGAACATAACAAGAAACCTCTAAATGAAATAACCAACAAATCGCATGTTTTTAAAAATATAAATGAAAATATAAATGTTGTGTCCCCAAATACAACATATTACAATTTATGTATGTGTTTGCATCTCTTATAAGGAGTTGGTTTAATCTCTGGTCTGTGAGTAAAACTGAATTACTGTGTTGCGAAATGATGCATGTCTAAAAAGTGTGTCACCAACATGAAATGTTTTGAAAGTTCTGATCTAAATAGTTGTGTTGATCCATATCAATAAACCACTTGGAGCACTCTCCATTTCCACCAAGTGAGTCTTAGTAGCCCCTTCATGAAGAAGCTATTCCCAAATATCTCTTGCTACAACCAAAACAACATGCACGAATGCTATGGTGAAAATTCCTCCATGCACCTCTTTAGCAATTGTGAGGATTGCAGGTGAGCAAAGTGGAGAGGTTGGGGTAAGGAAGAAATGATGCCATTGTCTCTTCGTAAAAAAAAGTGCTGTTGACATTATAAACACAAAAGCTCTGGTTCCACTACCCTTTTGTGCCCCTCACCATAGGAGAACCCTATTTGGCCTTTGAGATTTCTGCAGAAAGTAAAAAAGGAAACCACTGCCATCAAGCATATTTCTAATTGTGGTTACAAAGTCATCTTAAAGTCAACTGGATAATAGTTATGATAGCCATTCCTATATTGCTTTCCATCTTCAAGTGAATCACTCCTATCTAATGGAGAATATTAAGTACTAACCTCAATAGCTTTCCTGAGAAAGCAGTGGGGAAACTATGTTCCTACAACTAACACTGGAGTCACCAGGGCAGTTCTTTCTCCCCAGCTGCATCCCTATTTACAGTTTCTCTGTCCAGTGATTGAACACATATGATTAAGAGATGTTGCTTTTCTCTCTCTCTACTAGAAAGAACACTATTGCAACTGGAAGTCCAGTCTGGCCTCAGATATCAGCCTGAAAACAAGGAGATGAAGAACATAGCAAAGTTGGTTTGGCGAACAATATATTTGTCGAACCAGCTAGTGCTGGTTTGGGGATGCTAGGAATCATAGTCCTAAAAAGTGATTTCCCAAAGTTCGAAACAAGTGAAGGAAGCTTACTTTCCCCTTCCAGGCCAGGAATAACACTGCATTAGTTATACAGTGTGGAGGCAACCTGAGGCAACCAGAAAGATACAACGTCCACAAATAATGGACTTTAAAATCAGTCACGAAACCAAACCAAAAGTTGTTATTGTTGCACACCTTCAAGCCAATCGTAAAGTAAATATCTCTTGTAGGGATTTAGTTGTTGGGATTTATAGTTCACCTACAATCAAAGAGCATTCTGAACGCCACCAATGATGGAACTGAACCAGTCTTGGCACACAGAACTCTCATGACCAACAGAAAATATTGGAAGGGTTTGGTGGGCATTGACATTGAGTTTTGGAGTTGTAGTTCACCTCCGTCCAGAGAGCACTGTGGACTAAAACAATGATGGATCTGAACCAAACTTGGCACGAATACTCAATATGTCCAAATGTGAAAACTGGTGGAGTTTGGGGAAAATAGACCTTGACCTTTGGGAGTTGTAGTTGCTGGGATTTATAGTTCAGCTACAATCAAAGAATATTCTGAACCACACCAGCGATAGAAATGGGCCAAACTTCCCACACAGAACCCCCATGACCAACAGAAAATACTGTGTTTTCCGGTGGTCTTTGGTGATCTCTTTGACATCCCTTCGCGATCCCCCCAAGGGTCCTGATCCCCAGGTTGAGAAACACTGCCTTAAGACTAAAAGAGTGTAACTTGTCCAGTGTCACCCAATTTTTCATGGTTGAGCAGGGATCCGAACCCCCATTTCCAAAATCACAGTCTAACACTCAAACCACTATATCCTGCTGGCTCTCAAAACAAAAACAAAGAGACTCCAGATTATATTTAAAACTGTACAGGATCCAAAGTTCTGCTGAAAACAGTGTGGGTGTGTTTTACATTTTATGTGTGACACTCTATAAAGAAATTTTGGGACACAACAGATTTTGGATATCACCACACAGTTCTTCCCATCAATCCAAACAAAAACAAAGAGAAGTTAAGCACTCCCCAGCTGAATAGATAGGTAACCCCAAATGGCTTACTATTATACTTTGTTCTGGCACTGTCAAGCTGCTCTACCCCCTCTGCCATTTTAACCCAGTCCTCATTTTGGCAGCTATAATTTAATCTGATTTTTTCATAATGGGAAACATTTCCTAAAGTGGAATAAAAGAAATATATGGGCAAAAAAACTTTCACATTTATCTTTCTAAATCAATGGCTCTCTCTAGTTCCATGGAGAATAGCTTCAAACTAGGACAGTAGCAAAGCCTTCAGAAACAAGAACTGAGCACAATCACTCTCCCTCTTTTTAAGGATCCACTCTGTTAATGTCTGCTGTTACACAGCATATAATTTCTTTTGCATTGAATCAAGTGTTTAACATCAATACATCATTAAAGTAACTTCCAAACTGGTTCACTATTGAGTAAAACAAGGATGGGGAATTGCTGTGAGGCAGGGACCACTTTCTGAATGGAAAAAGCAATCAGGGGCCACACTTTAACTAAACTCAAATGAATGCATCAGCTGGAGAAAAATATCTTTGGTACTTTTGATTACTCAATAATACTAACAACATATTGATATTGTGTGCCTTCAGGTTGTTTCTGACTCATGGTGACCCTAGGATGAACTGATCAAGAAGTTTTCTTGGCAAGGTTTGTTAGGAAAGGGATTGGCTTTTGCCTCTATCTGAGGCTGAGAGTATGTGATGTGCCTAAGATCATCCAGAGGGTTTCCCTGACTGACTAGGGAGTTAAACCCTGGTTTGCCAAAGTCAGGCTTCAATCCTTAAACCACTACATGCAAACTGAGTCTCCCACCGCCAGCATTACAACTACTAATACTAATACATACACAGCAGTCCCTTCCTACTTCTGCTCTCCCCCCCCCCCCCCCCCCCCCCCCCCCCCCCCCCCCCCAGCATTCTACCTTTCTTGAGGACAGAGGCCATGAAGATCACCACCCCAAATCCAATCATGAAGACAGGAAGGTCAAGAAGTTAGTTCTTATTGGGTTGCTGTGAGTTTTCTGGGTTATATGGCCATGTGCTAGAAGCATTCTCTGACGTTTTGCCCACATCTATGGCAGGCACCCTCAGAGTTCTGAGGATGCCCACCATAGATATGGGTGAAATGTCAGGAGAGTATGCTTCTGGAACATGGCCATACAGCTCGGAAAACTCACAATAACCCAGTGATTTTGGCCATGAAAGCTTTCAACAACACACTAGTCCTTATTCTTTTGAAAGACCACTTTGGATCAATGTTTGAAAATGTAAGAAGACCTTGGGCAGTATTATAAGATGCGACACCACTCTAGCTAACACTTTTGGGCTTTTGACCGGCAATTTTTATGAGATCTGGAGGCTCCGGGAGTGCACTTTCTCCCACCTACCTGGATTGCAAGCCTTATAGGCTTGGTCCAACAGATAGAAAATCAGATTACTGTCCAAATGTCTGTCATATTTTTCCTTGGGAAACTGTTACACATTCCAGATATGAGTACATCAGGAAGATACAGAATAACTGTAAAGCTGCTGCTCCAGGCTCCCAACCCCTTGGAAACTGAGTTTATGAAGGAACCACAAGACTCATGCATCAATACGGATGAGGAAACACCCACAACTATTTTAACTTAATAATCATGTGTCAGCAGGAGCCCAAAGTGTTTGTAAGGTAGGAGGATGCTCAACATTGGAAAGTGGGATATGATTAAAAGTTTTGACTACTTGGAGGTATGCTTTGTATAAAATAATGAACACACACATTAAGTTGCAGTAAAACAATCCTCTTCCACCTCCAACAGAGGATGGTGACAATCTGAGTACCACAAAATGATACTAAAATAATGAAAATGTAGTATACTTCCAACTGAAAATTCCTAAGGGAGTTCAACTAGCTAGAAGTTTTGGTGGGCACGTTTTGTATGATCATTTCAGGGAGGTGTCCACCACTCCCCCAGACCTATCTTGAGAGGGCTTGAGTCCAGAAATTTTGGTGTAGGTAAAAGTTTCCCCTGATATTAAGTCTAGTCGTGTCCGGCTCTGGGGGGTGGTGCTCATCTCCATTTCTAAGCTGAAGAGCCGGCGTCATCCATAGATCTCTCCAAGGTAATGTGGCCAGCATAACTGCATGGAGCACAGTTACCTTCCCGCAGAAGCGGTACCTATTGATCTACTCACATTTGCCTGTTTTTGAACTGCTAGGTTGATAGAAACTGGGCCTAATATTGGAAGCTCACCCTTCCCCCTGGATTCAAATAGCCACCCTTTCGGTCAGCAAGTTCGGCAGCTCAGTGAGACTTATCAAAACCAAATGACCTTCTTTCCTTATAAGCTGTCCAACACATTTAGTCCACACACCTCAATCTTATATTTCATGTCCCCTATACACACCAATACTTCCTTTGGCAACCTTGTTTCAATGTTAACTTGCACAAGACTGAGGCCATTTTTATTTTTACACTTTGCAGCTTCAATGTTTTTTTTTTTTGGTTTTTTTTTACAATTCCTAGTCAGAGACTGAAGCAACGGCGAAGGTGGTGGTGGTAACACATATTAACAAACCAGACTTTTACAATACACTTCATAGCTTTTTTAAAAAAAGGACAATACACCTTTCCCTTTAAAAAGTATCAAAATCTACATGCTCCTGGGAATGGATGCTCCGCCATCACACATAAGTCAAGCATCTATGCATCAGAGAAGCCAACATGTCAAAGTTTATCCCGAACACTACAGTACAGTTAGCTTGGGGCAATGTCCCCTTTACCAGGATAGGGTCACTGGAAAAAGCTTCTCATGTTATCCTCCTTAGTACTTGTAATTCTAAGGCTACTTCGAAAAAACGTTTTGTTTCGTATAAGGAAGCAAACTCTAGATGCTCTTCCTGTGCACATTTGTGATCTGATTTCAGAATAATCTGGACATCAACCTCTGCGTGCAAACTCAAAGCTTCTATAAAATAATGTCACTCTTGTACAAGCTTTCCTTATTCAAAGAAATCATGAAGCCTACACTGCATTTAAAGTAAAGCAGAATTGATATTTTGATCCAAAGCTATTGGCTTTCTAATAGTCATGGGCCCGATATCTGTATCATCTGTTTTATTCGTGTTTTCATTTTGTTCCATCATTTGGATGGTACAGAATGGGAAGGCCCCTTCTAGAACGAAAATAAACTCGATACGAAAGGCAGGCAGGAGCGGATATCAGGTTCCAAGCCTGATTTTGGCTCAATTGCCGCATGCGTAGGGCCAAAGTGCTTGGGCTTGCCAGGGCCTGCAGCCGAGTAAGCCGAACTCCTTACTTGGCGATTGGCTGCAGGCCCTATCAGGCTCAGGTGCTTTGAGCCAATGCTTTGGGTTGCGGAGCATGGCTACCAGCAGCAAATACGATGGGTCTTCAGCCTCAGCCAAGGAGCTCTTCGGCTCCCCAGATGAATGTGAAGCAAACCCCACACAGAAGCATGCACTGAGAAGGGGAGCCTGGGTAGAAAGCCCTGCCCCAATAATGGGCCGAAAGAAAACTAATCTTTCGGCACTGAAAACCAAAAACAAATATTTGCCCTCCCGATTTCAGAAGGCTCAATAGAAACGGATTGGGGGCACAAACCGAATCAAGGTTTACCCCGAATGCACATGACTACCTTCTAACGCTGCATTCTGCGCGCACTTACCTGAACATAAGCTGCGCTGAACAAAACAGTTCTTACATGCAAAGGATAGCATTGAACAGCAAATTCTCAAATATACGCAGGCTTCAGATAACTTTCTAAAGAGAATTCCATATTCAAATACAGCTATTTACTTATGTCAGGAGGACTGCAAATGGGATTTCTACATAATAAATATCATCACCACAGCTCTTTCACCCTCTTTATCCCGCAAAAACACAAGCATGGCTATGCAACTAGATTTACCACCTTAGAGTAACTCGACTACATGAACATAGCTACAACTTTCATACAAAATATTATTCAAACCAAGCTGTAGCAATGTTGTTCTCTCCTCTCACCCCGGGGCACTCGCTTTGGCATGCTGTAGCAACACAAGTTTATAATCAACAGAGTTTGAACATTGGTTACTCACGTAATCATGAAAGGCTTTTGCTTCACTTGAGTGTTCACAAGTATCTCGCCTTTCAGGAGCTGCACAGTAAAGGTCCCAAAATACACTGTACAGCAAGAGAAAAGGGGGCAAATTATTATTAATTATACAATAAACATACAATGAAATGTAAACATTCCAACAAATGCAGTTTCCAGGAGCACTCATCAATTTATTGTTTTGATTGAGAAGCTTTTTCACTTTGGTTTCAATTTGAATATTTTTGCTTTTTTTGTCCTGCTTCTGGGCAGGGGTTGAACTGGATGGCCCATGAGGTCTCTTCCAACACTATGATCTTTTGAAATTAGGCAAACATATTTTGAGATAAAATATAATTGCAATGGGTTTCAACAGAAGGTCTCTATTCTAATTGCAGTTGAAGATCTTCACCCTTCTAAGAAAGTGACATTAATCATGCCAGAGTTTGACCATACTAATATTTTTATCTTTGTGCTCAAACAGAACTATATGTTTAGACCTCTCACGTGTTTTGGTACATTCAGCTGTGCTTTCAATCATCTCATCAGAACCAAATGCAACTGATTCAAGTTGCTGTGTAGCTCTATTCAACCTGCACACTTCCCCTTCCACATACGCAGCTATCTCCTAAAACCAGAGTGCAATCCATTAGAGCTGTTTCAGTTTGACATTAAATGCCATATTGTCAATACAACATCGATTTCATCTGCTGTCTTGGATGTTGCAGATATATAAGAACCACCACTATGGAAGCCCCTCGGTTAATAAAACCTACTGTGAAGCCTTCATGTAAACAAAGGGTTCGTCATGCAAACTTGAAAATATCCCAGTGTAGTGAATGGTTAAAAATATTACTAGTAGTGTAAAGACCTGGGTTCAAATCCCCATTTAATCATGACATTTACTAATTATCTCCTAGCTGAGCAAATACCACAAACAAAAAGGAGGCAGGATGGAGAAGAAAACCATGAGTCCTCAAGGAACTTTTTTCTTGTAGTGTCAGGAGTGACTTGAGAAACTGCAGGTCACTTCTGGTGTGAGAGAATTGGCCGTCTGCAAGGACATTGCCCAGGGGACGCCCAGATGTTTTACCATCCTGTGGGAGGCTTCTCTTATGTCCCCACATGAGAAGCTGGAGCTGACAGATGGGAGCTCACCCCACTCCCCAGATTGGAACTGCCAACCTTTCTGTCAGCGGTCCTGCTAGCACAAGGATTTAACCCATTGCGCTTATGTGGAGGGGAGTGGGATAGAAATACAATAAATAACTAGAGCTTTTGTAGGAATTCAGATAAAATTGGAAGAACAAGAGGATCAAACGGTCCTTGTGTGCTCTTTTTGAAATGTCAATGGTTTCATGTGTTACTACCATACCTGAGCAAGAATTGCATGCCATGACACTATGTATAATTCCAAGATATCCAGCAGGCTAGCAAACAATCCAACAATATTTAGGGATGGCAACTGTCAGATTACTTTCCCAGAACTGTTGCTTCTAACGGCACAGCAAAAGCAGAGACAGCAAACCCTTCACTAAACTTTCCTGCTGGGCAATTTCAGAACAAAGCACTACCAAAACCTCTCCATTTGATATATTATTTGACCAGCCAACAAGCCAGAAAACAGTGCTGCCTACCAAAGCAACATGTGTGCCATAACTCCACATAACAACCTAGACAGTCTCCTTAGGTACAAAGACAGCATTATGCACCATGTGTTGTTGAAAGCATGTCAGCTAACAAAGGATGAGAGCGCACAATAACAGAAGCAAAAAAAAAAAATACAAACCCTCTTCAGATCAATGGGACTTAATCTGGATGCTATGTTGTAGGAAATGTTTCTACTGTCCAATTTTGTGCTACCGATGGTAAACCTGCTCCATTCATATCAGACTGTGTCTATATCAGAGACACATGCTCACAAAAGAAACCTACATCATGAGTACTATTGATAACTAGTAGCATAAGAAGAGTAACCAACTGTTCTTTAAAACTTTTCAAAATTATTGGGTTGCTGTGAGTTTTCCGGGATGTATGGCTATGTTCCAAAAGCATTATCTTCTCATGTTTTGCCCACATCTATGGCAAGCATCCCCAAAAGTTGTGAGGTCTGTTGGAAACTAGGCAAGTGGGGTTTATATATCTGTGGAATGGACAGAGTGGGAGAAAGAACTCTTGTCTGCTTAAGGCAAATGTGCATGTTGCAGTTGGCCATCTTGATTAGCATTGAATGGCCTTGCAGTTTCAATGTCTGGCTGCTTACTGCCTGGGAGAATCCTTTGTTGGGAGGTGAACCTTGAAGCTGCAAGGCCATTCAATGCTAAACAAGGTGGCAATTGCAACATTCACACTTGCCTCAAACAGAGAAGAGTTATTTCACCCACCCTGGACATTCTGCAAATATAAACCTCACTTGACTAGTTGGAGCGCTCAGTGGGTTAAACCATTGTGCCGGCAGGAATGGCCGACAGGTTGCAGGTTCGAATCTGGTGAGAGAGCAGATGAGCTCCCTCTGTCATGTGGGGACATGATGGAAGCCTCCCACGAGGATGGTAAAACATCAAAACATCCTTGCGTCCCCTGGACAAAGTCCTTGCAGACAGCCAATTCTCTCACACCAGAAGCGACTTGCAGTTTCTCAAGTCGCTCCTGACACGACAAACGAAAAAAAAAAACTTGCTGAGTTTCCCACAGCCCTCTGAGGATGCCTACCATAGATGTGGGCAAAAGGTCAGGAGAGAATGCTTCTGGAACATGATCTCACAGCAACCTGGGGATTCTGACCATGAAAGCCTTCGACAACACATTTTCAAAATTATACTAGAAATCCACATGCAAAACAACTAGGGTCCATCTCAAGAAACACTTCAAAAGCAGAAAGACATGCCTACAAAAGCTCAGTCCCTTATCTAGTCTGTCACATTAACACCAACAGACAAGGCTGGGAGTGGAAAGATGCATTTCAGATATGTTCCATCCATCTCTTCTACATCTTCCAGAAATCTCCTAAAAACTCACCCCCTTTTAAAGAACTTAGAAACTTTCTCTCTTTGTGTTGAAGGGTAAGGAGAAATCAAGCAGAATCTGGTTTGACACACACAGTTCCAAGAACAAAACACAAACTACACAACTGCTCTCAAGAACTCTCTCTCCAGGACTTTTGTTTCCTCTTTTCCAATCTTTTGTTCCTCTCGATCAGACCCGGGATGGAAAGACAACCTCACACCACAAGTATGTCTATTTAGCAACACAGAAAACTATGATCAAACCCAAACTTTTGACCGGACTGAAGTTTCTATTTGAGGAAAGGGGGGAAGAGGAAAATAAAGGTGCAGACTTACCACCACCACGAGTGTAGAAACCCAGGAGGCTCTCCTAGCGTGATGTTTTTTTCCCATCGGATCTGCAAGGAGGAAGCCATGCCAATAGGTTAGATCACAGGCCGGTTGGGAAAAGATGCTTTCTTTTCCCCCAACCCTCTCTCCTAACTCTCTTCTTTTGTGAGGCCAAGAAGCAATAAACTGGCAAAAGGTGGTTTAAAAAATTCAAAATGGAGGCCACGGTCTTAGGAAAACAAAGGCTATCTCCAACAGAGTTAAAGGGGGGTCAAGAAAGTCAAAAAAGTCACTCACCTCTGATAGAAAGGTCTGTGCTGATTTCTGTGCTCCTACGTGTAGCAAGTATTCGTAGACGTACAACGCTAGCCTGCAAAAAGGAGGAGAGGGCAGAGAAAAGGGAAAGGAGTGGGCATCAGGGCCTTTGTGGGGCCACACTGCTAGATAATGTGGTTTGAGACTGCATTATATGTTCAGTGTAGAAACGATAGTATCATGGTCAGTGTGTTGACCGGGCATGAGCAAACTTTAGGCTGTTAGGAATTGTGGGAGTTGAAGTCCAAAACACCCGGAGGGCCCAAGTTTGCACATGCCTGGTGTAGACCCATAAGGTGGAGTTTAACTACATAGGTCTGCATTACATAGGTCTGCATTACATGGGTCTCTCCACCATATAATGTTGTTAGGAATTGTGGGAGTTGGAGTCCAAAACATCCGAAGGGTCCAAGTTTGCCCATGCCTGGTATAAACCCATACAGTGGAGTTAAACTCCATTGGACTGCATTACATGTGTCTCCCCTGCCATATAATGCTGTTAGGAATGGTGGGAGTTGAAGTCCAAAACACCCAGAGGGCCCTAGTTTGCCCATGCCTGTTTTAGACCCATACAATTTGAAACCACATTATATGTTCAGTGCAGACACTAGAGTATCTGTTCAGTGTGTAGACCAGGCATGGGCAAACTTGGCCCTCTGGGTGTTTTGGACTTCGACTCCCACAATTCCTAACAGCCAATCCAAAACATCTGGAGGACCCAAGTTTGTAGACCCATATAATAGAGTTTAATTACATTGGACTTAATTTCATGAGTCTCCCATGCCATATAATGCTGTTAGGAATTGTGGGAGTTGGAGTCCAAAACACCTGAAGGGCTCAAATTTGCCTATGCCTGGTATAGACCCACATAATGGACTTTATATATATCGCAGTCCACATTGGACTGCATTATATGGCAGCCTCACCACCATATAATGCTGTTAGGAATTGTGGGAGTTGGAGTCCAAAACATTCGGAGGGCTCAAGTTTGTAGACCCATATAATGGAGTTTAACTACATGAGTTTACCCAAGCCTGGTGTAGACCCATACAATGGAGTTTAACCACATTGGACTGCATTACATGGGTCTCCCTGCCATATAATCCTGTTAGTAATTGTGGGAGTTGGAGTCCAAAACATCCGAAGGACCCAAGTTTGCCCATGCCTGGTGTAGACCCATATATTGGAGCTTAACTACATAGGACTGCATTACATGCATTTCACCAGCCATATAATCCTGTTAGGAATTGTGGGAGTTGGAATCCAAAACATCCAGAGGGCCCAAGTTTGTAGACAAATACAATGGAGTTTAGCCACATTGGACTGCATTACATGAGTCTCCCCTCCCATATAATGCTGTTAGGAATGGTGGGAGTTGGAGTCCAAAACATCCGAAGGGCCCAAGTTTGCCAATGCCTGGTATAGACCCATACAATGGAGTTTAACTACATTGGACTTCATTACATGAGTCTCCTCGCCATATAATGCTGTTAGGAATGGTGGGAGTTGGGAGTTCAAAACATCCCGAGGGCCCAAGTTTGCTCATGCCTGGTGTAGACCCGTATCTTGGACTACATGACATGTTCCAAAGAGCCTGAGCTGAGGACCAAGGCCTGGAAGAAAGGCAGACCAGGTCCTTCCTGATCTCAAGATGGAAAGGAAGCAGTTTGCCTTCTCCTCCAAGACGGAGAAGTTGGTCCCTCCTGAGCAGGAAGCCCAAGGCAACTTCTCCAGGCACATGCAGCAGGGGAAGCAGCAGCAGCATCACCCCAAGACCTGGCCCAAAAGTATCAACACAACCCAAGGAGGACCTGGCTTGGAGACAGTCCTGGGGGGGGGGGGGGGGGGCTCCTTTTGGGACGGATTTGGGGGGTGCCAAGTCTTCCCCTCCGGAAGCCAACTTGCCAACTCTTCCCTGGACAAAGCCCTCCAGACAAAAGGACTGGCCTCCTTCCTTGTCCGGGGCTTTGGAGCCACCCCTGGCCATTGGGGGGGGGGGGGTCCCTCTCTCTGTGTGCCTGCCTCCCTCTCCTCCTCCTCCTCCTCCCCTCCCTCCAAGGAAGACAATGAAGCGCTTACTTTTCCCTCGCCTGCCCATCCGAGGGCACCGCCGAGCCTTTGCCTTTGGCGAACATGGTCCGCAGGAAGGAAGGAAGGAAATGGGGAGGGAAGGAAGGAAGGAAAGAGGAAGCAAGGGGCCAAACTCAGCCCGACGCGGATGCCGCTCGCTGCTGCTGCCTAGCTTTCTCCTCCTCCTCTGCCGCCGAGCCCCTCTTCTTCTCTCCCGCAGCTGTCAAAGCCTCGGCCCCGGCCGCGACCCCATCGCCCTGCGCCGCCGCCGCCGCCGCCGCCGCCTCCTTGGCTCGCTTCGCCCGCCGCTCCTGCTGCTGCTGCTGCTGCTTTGCCCGCTCCTGCTCTTGCTCCGGCTGCTGTGCCTTGCTTCTGCCGCCACCGCGGCTGCCCCCGGCTCAACCGAACGTGGCTGCGCTCGGGATAGAACGCGGCGGGCGTCAACGTTCCACAATGGATACGCGCCTCGGCCAATGGGAGGCCGGCGAGGGGGAAGGGACGCTCCGCCTACTCCGGGCCCCGTTTAAGGTGGCGCCGGAGGAAAAGCCCAGGGCAGCAGCAGCAGCAGCAGCAGCAGCAGCCGGGTCCCGAGGAGGAGGAGGAGGAGGAGGAGGAGATGGGAGGGGAGGAAGGAAGGAAGGAAGGAGGGGAGGGAGGAGGGTAGGAAGGGCTCCTCCTCCTCCTCAATGCTGCTGCTGCTTCTTGGAGGCTGAGCCCGGACCGAGCTGCCTTCTTTCCTTCCTCCCTTTCTTCCCTTCCTTTTCTTTTCCTCCCTTTCTACATTCTTTTCTTAATAATAATAATAATAATAATAATATATCTATATTCATATATAATTGATATTAATAGAATATATTATTTATACTAATATATTAATAATCAATGTATTATTTATATACAAATAATATATAAAGTTAATATATTTATAATATATATAGGAATAAAGGAATATAAATAAAGCTATGTGTGTGTATATATATATATATTAATGAATTTATTTATAATAGATATAGATAAATATAGGAATATAAATCTATATTAAGTTACATGTTTATTATATAAATATAATGTACATATAAATATATATAGAAAGGAATAAAAATATAAAGCTACACATATATAAAGTTAATATAGTTTATAGTATATATATATATATATATCACTATAGTAATATAGTTAATATAGTATACACACCCATATATAGAGAAGAATAAAGGAATATAAATAATGCTATATATAAAAAGTTAATATATTTATAATATAAATATATATATTTATACACACATATAGAGAGAGGAATAAAGGAATATAAATAAAGCTCTCTTTATATTATATTATAATATATTATAATATAGAGAAAGCAGAATAAAGGAATATATATATATAAAGTTAATATATTTATTTGTAATATAAATATATAGAGAGAGAACTAAGGGAATATAAATAAAGCTATATATAAAGTTAATATATTTGTGATAAAATATATAGAGAGAGAACTAAAGGAATATAAATAAAGCTATATACATAGTTAACATATTTATAATATATACATATACACATAGAGAGATGAATAAAGGAATATAAATAAAGCTATATATAAACTTAAAATATTTATTTATAATATAAACATAATATAAATACACATATAGAGAGGAATAAAGGAATATAAATAAAGCTCTGTGTATGTGTGTGTATGAATATAAATAAAGCTAAAGGGAAGGAGGCTTTTTCTATCCCTCCTTCCCTTCCCTCTATCCCTTTCTTTTCTTTCCATTCTACTTTTTCCTCCTGTCCTTTTCTACCTTCTCTTCCTTCCTACTTCTTTCCTTTCCCTATTCCCAGCTTTTCCCTCCACCTTTCCCACCTTTTCAGCCCAGATCCGCGTCTACACCGCTTTCAGCCCGGACTGTCTACACCAGAGTTCGTCCCCTCAAAAAGGAATGGCTCCCCCTCTTTAGTTTGGCCCTCTGATTGTGACTTCATTGGGGCAGA